CTACGGAACCCAGGACCTCAGAGATGGCGACACCTTGAAACTGGCGTGCGAACCACTCTGCTAAATCAAAATGACGTATGCTAAATGACGTACCTTGATTTTTTCACCTCGTATATGAAGTGGCTGTATATAGACTAAATTCATCACCTTCATCATCAACCATTTTACGTTCCCACTGCAGAGGCTCAGGCCTTCCTTATGTATGGTTGAGGAGGATGGGCCACGACCCTGCACACTGACCCAATTGAGGGTATTAACGGCATATTTAGCCGGGATTAACGGCTTAACGTGTCTTCCTGAGCACGGAGGGGATCGAGGTAATAAATTTTAGGTCACCCATCACCAACCGGCCATTCTGGAAGTTGCTTAACAATCGTATCGCAGACCGAGCGTGCTAACCACTGCGCCATCGACCTTCGTTTAGTATATATAGTATCTAATTTAAAACTGGAATTATATTCAAAATAGTTGGAGAATAAACGCGTGTTTACAGTAAAGTAAATGACGTATCCCTGACTTCTCCACCTCGTATCTGAAGTGGCTGTAGGTAGAGGAGGTTACATGCATTCAATGCTGACGCCCCATTCGTTTGATGGCTCTAGACTACACCGAGCGAGCGCCGTGATTGTGAAGCAACCCTTTGTTTACGATCGCTTCGGATACTCCCAGTTCCCAGATAGCAATAAAACTGCAATTGTGAGGAGGTAGCTGAGCTTTTTTTTATTTTCTTTCATCTTATTGTTAATGCTTCCCCATTTTGAGGACTTTTTTTGAGGTTTTAAAACGTAGAGATTTTTAAATTAACGAGCTTTGTTTATATTAAATGGAGATCTTAATGATGACTAGTAAGACGTAGATTAATATCAAATATTATGTCTATTGAAGCTACAAATTTATAGTTCAAATTAATTAATTTTTATTAAAATGGTTGTACCTTAAATAATAAATAGCTGTACCTTAAACAATATTAATTAAAATAGTTGTACCTTAAATAATTAGACTGACTCCTATTTTTTTTAATATTCTTGCCACGTTATTTCAATACAGTAGTTTTCAGTCTTGACTGATTGCAATATAAAATGACTAATTGAAAATAGTTTCTTACCGATTGGTTAGTTTAAGTAAACTGCTTGGAATTATCAGCTCTGGATATATAAGCAACATGAAGATAATCTATGTATAAGAAGGAAATACATACTTTACTTTAAATGGCAAATTGTTTCATACCGTGAATTTACTATTATCACAATGATATAGAATATAATGTCTTTTCTAAATAATATTAAGGACCCTACATCGGCAGGTACCCACTTTATTACTTCCTACTTTGTGGCATGAGTCGCGGAAATATATATTTTATCTTTATTTGGTTTTTGGGCTTACAAATAAAAATCATTTGCTAGTGAATCGATATATCATGTAATGTTCCGTCCTGTGCCTTGCTGTTACTTCTTATTTTTAATATAAAGGAATAGAACAGCGTACCACATGGGTTTACGAACACTCGTTTCAGTATGGGGATGGTACTCAAGCTGATTCTAGTAGAGAGAGTATTCTACAAGGAATTTTACGGGTAGGTTGATCACATTTTGAACTTTTACTTCGAGGCAGCAACTTTACCGAGTAATCTAAAGCTGTATTTATTTCTATCCAATCCCACGCCAATCCTAATTTGGTCTGATCACAGTTAATTTGTCAGCCTGATAGATCATCTAGGGCTTCATTTTGACAGTTCAATCTGGATTTAATTAAGTGGTAGAGCCGCACTAAATGTCCCAGTGATCGGAAAGCCACTGGGACATTCCCATTAAGTCCATGTGCATAAGATGTATTTTTCCTGCTGAAGGTTATAAGGTACATATCTTCAGTACATTTAACCATGTACGCAGATGCCGCAGCGGTACGTCGCCCCATATTTAGACTAAATTATTTAATAATCGCATTGTTGATTCAGGTCGACATCAAAATCTATTTTCTAGTGTATCATTTGTATTTTAAGTCTTTCTACTTTAAATTTTTTAGTTAGGTATATTTCTCATGATCATGAGTCCCTAGTACTTTAATAGTTAATGTTTAAGTTAAGAGTACGTACTCTTAGAAATAAACCGTGAATCATATTGTCTCAACTTGATTGTTACTGATACACGTTGTACTTATATATTGCGGCAAATAATGCCACAAACTTCATATTTAACATTTCTTCTTTTCAAACTGCATTGTGAAAGTTCTTTCTTTCCAACCTTTCCGACAAACTAATTTATAGGGAGCCATCTAAGTGTTCATTACTAGTAACTACTTGGCTTTACGATCAGGTAGTATTGCGAAAGTCGTAATTTTCTTTACGACACACGCAGCTCAACCGTAAATAGTTTAATAATTGAGAGTTAACTATGTGGCATCAATAAATTATCCTCTAAGAATATCAATACTTAATGATTGCTTTTAAACAAAATATACGTTCCATTGATGTTTTTGCTTGGCAAAAATAAAAAGTGAAATCGGTGTTATTTTGCTAAGTCTGTTTCGGTTTTGCAGTTATCACCAATAAGACCTATATCGTTTCTTAAAGAACCATACCAAATAACGTTATTGGATATAGGCATATTCATCAATAGCCCTACAAAGGCGCTATAATCCGAGAATAAGCCGGCCTCTCAAGTGCGGGACACGGAGAATTAATCACGGATAATCTCACAGAGCGGTACACACAAAACATCTCGCCTTGCGCAACCAAAGTGGTCGGTCCACGACGAACGGTTGCTGTTGAGCTTATGATTAATTCACTTCATAAACTTAATATAGACGTAGCTCTGTTTGGCAAAACGTTTACAAACAACGCTATCGGAAATTAAAAAATCTGAGCACGGAGAAAAAAGCTGTTGAATATTATATGATGGATGGAAAAATTCTAGTTGGTACGATATCTAAAAAAAGAAATCGCAAATATGTATGAAATTGAAGATCGAATTACAAACAAGATTACCTAATGCGATTAGAATTTTTATAAATGAATAAATACTAAGCTATTTAAATGTAAGTAAATGTACAGACGACAAATAAATAAAAACTAAGATATCAATATGTACACACAGTTTTACGTTTAACAATTGAAATGGTAAAAACAGTGTAACTTGTTAGATTTCAAGTTCTGTACAAACTTAACTTGACTTAACCACGGACTAACTTACGTAACCGTTGCATGCTGAGTCATCAGGACAGCGGAGCGTGACCACAACAAACCGAGATTACAATACAACGCCACTCGTAACTCGTGGCCGTGAATCATAAAATGGCATGGGAGAATGCTTTGTCTTCGTTATCTGCCGTTGATCTTCTTCTAACAATCATTTCGTTATAGACTATTGAATACAGTGATAATTATTCAAATTATATTGAAGTATCTGGAAATAACGGTATTTTAAACATCAGTTAAACATTTAAATGTAAAAGGAACTTCTTCCAATATGCTAACTTAAATAAATGCTCTAGTCGAGAGTTCATTGAAATTATTTTTAGACATTTAAAGTAATTTTTCATTTAATTTCAATGATGATCATAAATCAATGATGAATAAATAAGAAATTAAGTCCTCCTTAATTATGATAATTTTAAAATTACTTGGTAGCAGTCATTCAAACATACTAGTGACCCTGAATGGCTAACGACGTTTGTTAGCGAACAAGCGGATATAATAGCTCTACAGCAGTGTAGCAAGGGGGGAATGGAGAGGGGAGAAGCAGGTTCAACGCACCGGATACGTCTGTCGCCGGCATAGGCTCGTATGCACTCAAGCACAGGTGTGGGTGCGAACTAATGTGTGCGATGCTATAACATTGACATAAATACTATAAGGCAATGTGTTTGTCTGCATTCTATGTTCTACATATGTGTGTATATCGAGTTATTGCTACACTTAATACGATGGTACGTGTTAAACTAGTACTGATGTTGATTTGTGGGCGTCTGATAATATAGGCTATGGCCTACATGGTGTTCACTTCTGATACGAGGTCGTAAAGCTAACGATCGTACACTTTTAATTACACTATTTATGGGCGCACGCACTAGATCGAATTATGTAACTGTCACATGCTCGTGATTTATGTCGCTGGCTTTAAGGAAAATATATGTAAATCAATGTATACACTGTTACGTTGCGTTTCTAGATAAAAATAAGGTATTACAAACTATCAAATAATCCAATCTTATCTCAAATTGGTACACTAACAACGAATTCTAGTAATTTTATTCATAGAATTTTGTTATCTCATTTTATGAATTGAGAGGTCATTCAGTCCTGTTATCTGAGTAGTGTACAGAGTTCATTGGAATATTATGTGTAATCGTCTATAATTTATTCATCACGAGTCACTTACGCGTCTATGCTATGTTGTTTGTTTGCAATAATAATACCCTTGTCTGATTTAGAAACATATCTTAAACAAAATCATTGTTTGGCAATACTTATATTTAAAATATTCTATTTTGTCGACGACCTATTTTAATATACTTTACCAGTACGGTATCAGTCGTATGTGATATAATATCATTAACAAGTTCTCGATTTTCTTTATATGGTTGTGATACTTCTTATACAACATTATTGTGTATCTGGATATACTCTGTAACTAATGTAGAATCCTTTATCCGGTTAGTTTGATTATGTTAATTATTGGACCAATGCCAATAGGAAAGGGGAAACGATGTTGTCTAACGCATCTCTCCTCTTTATCGGGGCTGGCAGCAAGGGTGGCAGGCAGCTGCCTTTGCTCATTACGGCCTCGCATATTTTTGAAAGGCTCAGGTGTACCTTCACCTACGATGGGCGATGAGACGTGATGGTACGCTATAGGTTTTTAGTGGGTAGGGCTCTGTGGATCATCGAGCGAATATCCGCTGGGTCGCCTCGTCCCTCGTCTGGCGGCGGGGTATGCTTGACGCAATTTCCCTACAATCAAAAAAGGACCAATTATGCTCATACTATTATTTTCTTGTTATAGGACTGGGATCCTCGTCTCGTTGGGTTGGACGCAGGTGTAGATTTAACAGCTTTATGTAACGAGGCGACAGAATGGCGTAGTACGCAAGATGGTCAGAGGATTCTGACAACGACGCCCTCTGTCCTCGGCGGTTGCAGAGCTCAAGTTTACAGGGTGGCAGGTGCCACTCAATGGTACACAGCCGTCATTGTCGGTGTCAACGAGCACACTGGGGTATGTTATGAACTGATATTTTTTTTTGTGTTTGTAACCTTTAAATGACGCTTGTCTGATTTTAAAATCAATCTTTGAAAATAGACAATTATGCCTCTGGAATTGTTTTATTTTTTTGTATTATACGTGCAGAATAATGGCTAGTGTAATAAACTACACATCTGTATTGCTAAATTTACTCTATAATAAAGCTGGTATATACGAGCACACTGTAAGCGTACTGTCTCAACGACGCCCACTCTCATGCAACGCTCGAGGCTTACGAAATGTGCTTGTTGACCGGTCAATATATTCAGAACGAAGGTTTTTGTCCACCTGAACAAAATTATCATAAAACATAAAAGCCCGTTATTAGCGATCATAATTTATCAACATCAATTACGATCTACATTAGTTCGTTCGACATTATCGTACCGACTTAGGTGCAGGTGAGCGAGCTTTAAAAACTACTTGGATAACTGTAAAAGCATTCTACCATATCATTCCGGAGCGGGAAGTTCTGGAACCAGTTTAGTTTATTGAACGCGGAGGCATCCAACGCGGCAACGACATGGTATTTATAAGGGCATGTTTAAGAATCCGTCCACCCTGCGCACAAGCGTGCCCACAAGGAAACTTGCTAAGTGCGGGCTACCTCGTACCTCGCCATAAATGTCGAAATGGAATGCTGAACTTTCCACCTGTCTTCGATTTTATTAATTGCACCCCAAAAAGGGTAATGGCCTATTCCGTTTAAGGGAGTAGAACCAGTCGCATGTTATTTTAGCCGGATAGTTTAATTGAATATAATTTAGTTTGAGATTTAGTCACCAAATTTATTAATGGAAATTTTAAAATGTTGACATATTATTATCGAAAGTTGGACTGTTTTGATTGTCTAGTTATGAAGAAAGAACAACAAACAAATTTAGGAGGGCAACACGATACATATTAAAAAAGCGATACATATTAAAATACAATTATAAATATTATAAATATTAACGTAAAGAGGTTGAATAGACCGTGTTTGATCTCTCGTAATTCAATTTCCTTTTATTTATATGATAAGAGTAAATTGTGTTCTAAAATTGAAGTAGACATGATAACTATAGAAGTAAACACGGTAAATTATATTTTATTCTTACACACGAAGTTGTTATTCATCAACCAGAATATTACGTATATTGGCAAGAATCCAACAATGTAATGTGTCAATAACAACATTTTATAAATTACAAATGTTGTGTTGTGATAAAAGAAATATAAAAAAATAAAATACAATTATAAATATTATTTCACGGCTGCGTCATTGATACGGCATTAAGATTTGAAACAACGTGCTCACTTACTATGAAAGCTAGTATGTTATGAGAATTTTATTGCGGTATTGTCTTACACATTAGTGAAGGCAACTACCCTGTTTCACCCCAGGAAACTAACCTCCGAACTCGTGTAAACAAACGTTGTCGCTTTACATTAGTGTTACGTATTTAGTTATTCTTTCATCTCCTTTGAGGAATTGTTTCCTTTTGGTTTCTCACTTTTGTTTTCATGAGTTAATTACAAAATAGGAAATAAATAGATGTTCAGTTTATTTTGTATTTCTGAAATTGTACTTCATATATTAATTAAGAAGCTCGTTGGAGTGGATGAGCGCCGCGGCCCGTGATCTTTATTTTTAAGCAACTTTCGCAAGTGACAAAAAAATATTATCTCGAACTTCGGAAGGCACGCTAAGCCGTTAATCCCGCATTTGAATTTGCAGTCGTTAATATCCTCCAATCCACATTGGGCCACCGTGGATGGTCATGCATGGCCCATACTCCTTATTCAATTCGACTTGTGAGTGGATTGAAAGATATTAACCTCCAATCCACATTCGGCCAGAGTGGAGAAACATGGCCCATCCTTCATATTCGATTTGAATTAAGGCCTCTGCAATGGGGACGTTAATGGGCCGATGATGAATATTATGATTATAATGAGTTGCCTTTTTAAATACTTTAACATCTATCAAATCATATTTAAAAAAGAAAGTTTTATCATATCGCAACAATAATAATTGAATTGCTCATCAAAACTTTCGGCTTGAGTTAGATAAGCAGCACTCCGATCTATTCCGAACTTTCCTAAGTAATTACAGTTAAAAAGTTGAACCGTTAAACAAATTTATACTGGGAATTAGCGACTGCGAACTTGGCTCGTATTACTGGCGTCCGAGACGTCAAAGTTTTGAGTAACCTCCCCGTTCGCCCCCTACCCGGGAACCCGCAACTTTCGCGAAGTTCCCTCTTTGTTTCTTACAAGTTTGTTCCCAACTTCGTCTTTTGGCATAACGACATGTTTATCGAACGAACGTCAAAGAGTAATTTGTTGTTCCTGTCGATACGACGACTGATTACACGTTTGGTACTTTGCGAAAGGGATAATCCGTTATCTCGAAAGTGCACAACGAGGTATAGTCAGAAAGTGCAATGTGGTCTATGTGAGTTTTATTATATAACTTACTTCGGTCTACATTACTTTCTGAATGTTGCTGACTGTGTTTGGAGTTTTATTATGAAATGAAACCTTTTGTTTTAAGAATAATTTTATTTTTAGATGATAATATTTTAATTGTAATAATTGATTGTCATGATTATTATTACGAGCACGCTATCTCGTTATCTATAATCACTTGTAGCTCAGGAGATGAATTAATCAATTACGTAACATTGATGATAATCCAATAATGGCGCCAAGTATTACAGTATAAATAAATAAATAAAAAACCTTTTATTAATTCGCATTTGACTTGATGAAATTGAAACTCCAACAAATTTCAATTTCATTTAGGATTCAATTTATTTATTATTCAATTCTGATACATTATTTGTTTGTCATTTAATATTTAAGTTAATTTGTTAATATTTGCAATTTTATTAAGTGAAAAAGTTATATTTGTATATTATTAAATTTGCTTGAATTTTATAATTACTCATTATCCATTTTTAATCATTATCCATTATTACTTTTATTATTGAGAATCCCTGGCAAGGGTAAAGGCCTCCTCCATCCTCCATCCATATTCTGGTATATTACTAATGTAAACAATTATTAATTCAAAATGGTTAAGAATATTTATTATGAATGAAAAATTGATTATATAAAATAATTATGTAAATAATTCTACGAAGAAGAATACTAAGAACCTGTTATGAATATTTATAATAATAAATTTTAAATAGAATTGAGAATGTTCTATAAGTTGTATTCGAAGAAAAGAGTATAGAACTTGAACACCCGGATATAGATAGAATTGACTATATGTGAGTAGAATTAATAACAACGTATGAAACTAATATAAAATAGGATCTCTGCTAACAACACAGCTGAAACTGGCCGTGTGAAACATTAGATAGGAATCCACGGTATCTTGTTTAGTTACGAATAGGTTACACCTGCTGAGTTGTGTGTACTGTGGAGATAGGAAGATAGTACATATCTAGGAAAGTATTTTCTTTGGTGACAAGGATTAGTTTAGATCTTAAGTAATTTGTTTTATTTTACATGGATAAACTAACAGCTGTTTTTTCGTGGTGTTACTATGAACGAATATCCTTATCAGTATTTTATAAGAAATGTTTTAGTTACAATGAACCATCTAATACTTACAACAAATTAAATTTACAAGCATTCACAAACAATATGTTGTTTTAAACTTACACGGTCATTAACATCAGAATGATTGCTAAAAACGGGATTGCTACCATGTACCTTATATTTTTATATTTTACGAGAAAATAATTCAATTTGATGAATGTAATTTTTTATTTTTATTTTTGTATTGTGAATGTATCCAATAGTATTGTTTTGAAGGTTGTTTTGATTGTAATTAAAAAGACATTCAACACCTTAGTCTTATGTGAACATGGAACCTGTAAAGGGTCTGAAATATCAATAAAACTAAATACAAACGCGATGAAACCGTTTATAAGATGTTTCATTTATGGATAGTGCACGTGAAAATATAAAAAATCAATAAGCGAATATTCTTCAGCTCTTGATTAATGTTAGATTAGTATTCAACACGTTAATATTAACACTGATTTTTTTAACAAAGACTTCTACGTAATATCTGTTCAATTGGAACTTTGCGAGAGACATGCTTCAAATCTCGCCACCGCTGACGATATAGCGTTTTATATCAATGAGTTTCTGCTTGCTTTGATTGATGCTGTTAATATTTGTGATGTTATGTGCTTAGTTTAGAAAGTGAACCCCGATCCTTTACAGTAACGGATCTTTTATCCGTAGGAGCTGACAGTGACTGATGACACAGTGTTAGAGGAGCACAGCGAGGACCCCGCTCTCGTGCAGATGAGGCTCCTAGGAGATGGAGGTAAACTTTACACGTGTTTCATTGATTTTAGTACTCTGTACATTAACAGGGACCCTTATAAATGATTGGACCAATTTAGTTGGTATTTAGTACAGTATTCGATAATGTCAAAATTTATAAACAAGTTTGGAGTAAATTGATGGCAAGGTTACACTTGATATTGGTCAAAATCAAATTATCAAATATAGAGTAAGCAAACTCACTCTTCTTCTTAATTTGCTTGAAGTATTGCCCTAGTATTAACGTAATCTTTGCAGTCTTTGTTTAATAAATTTGTGAAATCTTACAGCTACTTTACATCTATCGCTCAACCTTATTAATGAAAGCTACTTTAGATAAGAAAAAAGTTTGGCAAACTCCATCTTGTGACGTATCAGCTGAAAGACTGTTGTGGCAATCTCTTTATTTATTTATACAAACAAGTCTTAAAAGCTAACACATGTTTCCTTCCAAAATGCTTACAAGATTAGATTATTAAATATAGGAATAGACAACATTGAATATAGGAATTTTAATGTGAGAAGATTATACAATACAGAATTAGATTGATGAATCTGGCTCGCACTTATTGTAAACATTTACAGCAAACAAAAGAGCAATTTGCATCCCGTCATTGATCGGCTTTCGGTGTTGCTTGTTACACAATAGTCTTTGTAATTGGATTTTAATTTGTCTGCATTGTTCATTTTCAATTAACACAATCACTCAACGTGCTCAAATCAGTACGGTGCGTGATGATAACAGTAACTCAGGTTATAGTTAAATAGTCAATTATATAAAATAAACTACTGCTTTAATACAAACTATAAAATAAAAATAGAAACGTGGACATAATCTATTTCCCACGCTGTCTAGTTTCAATAAACAGAAGTGGAAGCAACAATGAATAATATGTCCATTAACTGAAAAATGAATCATTGTTTTTAGTTAGCTAAGGATAGAAAAATATATACATTATAACGTCATATATACAGACATGGTTTGAATAAATATTATTATTATAATAGTCGCCGTCCAGAAAGCTAAATCGCGTAAAATTGTTATAACTATGATATTGCGTGCGTTATTTGATTGAATCAATAACCATATAACATGATGAGTATGTTGACTTATTCAATAAATGGTCAGAGACTAGTAGTACTCGGGACTAAATTATTAAAATGCACTATTGTTTCGCTGAATCTGAATATCGAACAAAAGTGATAACGTGACGAAATCAACGCGGTTGACAACGATGTAGAAACGACCAGAGGTATTACACGTCAAATTCTGTTTTTTTTTTCTGTTTTAATAAGTATTTTAACAATTTCGAGTAGATTATTTTAACAATTCATAATAATTATTTATAATACGGCGGGTTATAATAATTAATTATAATTATTATGAAGTCAATTAAACTACATTAATACCAATTCAATTATCGTTCTTCGCACACCTCCACGTATGTACCCACCAAATTTCAAGTCTATGAACTAAGGTTTAGGCTGTGCGTTGTCTGACAGTTTGTAAGGACATCTCTTCCACCTATGTATAGATATATGAATTAAATTGGTTTTGTAGAATGTAATAGCGTTAAGACAATCTAATAAAAACTAGTTACATAATTTTTAAGGGTACTGTGATTCTGTAACGGTCAGAACTTGAATTTATAATTTTTTTTCGATCTAGTCAATATTCTTATTTTGACCAAAATATGGTTTTTATCGTTCCGAATTTACTTAACACATATTTACTTGAAACTTAATCTACTTATACAGGATGTGAGATTATCTTAATTTATTTATCACGTGTTCTTAATTGGTAGGTAGTCAGAGTATACAGTTTATCTCCATAGATGGCGTCAGATGTATTGCGTGGATACAAAGTAAAAAGATCTCCGAAAATAGGTCAATATAAAAAACAATAAACATTTTATATAGTATACTAGAAAGTTATAAAACTATGAAATATGTACATCTTTCATGTACATCTTTTCCAACCTCTTTGTCGAATGAAATATATGGCTGTATATATCTTTAGCGGTAAATTATCGTTAGAAAGTATAGAAAATAGTTTTAGAAAAATAAGTAATGTAATGCAGATTGTATTTGACAAAAAATTAATTAATTTTTCATATTCCGTATAAGATGATCTGTATTCATTTGCCTGTATAATGTGCTCGTATGTGTTTAATATGCAGTTATATTAGCAACTCCACTATAATTGGATCGAATGAAACCTTTCAACTCCATGTTGTAAAGGTAAACACTTTAATCTTTTTGTAACGATGTTAGAAATATTATGAGAACTCAATTCACACTATGCTGAACACGTAATCAAATGTTCACAAAAGAAATACTATAAAAATTAGAACGAAAGTCTTATGTTTTTGGTGTACATTTTTTTTGTTTTTTTCCAGTTATCGAATCCATTATGAGAGGGGAGGTAGTTGGTGTAATGCCCAGGCGATCACGTTCCAATCTTCAAGTAAGTTTTTTCTTTATTTAAAAACTTATTATATGTGCTATTACATAAGATATCTAACTGGTACCTGCGAGTTTGTCTACGTGGTTGAAGATATGCATTGCTATTTCGTTATATAACATGTCATACAAACTATCAACCTCAAAAACAACCCCTTATGGGTCGAATTATGAAAAATCCCGTCTTACTTAGCATATTCGTCCTAAAAACACAGAACCCCGTGAATGGTCATGCAAAATACTGAGTGTTATCACGTATGTACCTTAATCTTATGATTATTTCTCAATGCGGTTTCTCTTTCTCCACCTGAAATTAAGAAAGTCTTCTAACTTCTCTTAATTTTGTTTCAATATCATCTAAAGGTTAAATTGCAGGAACGCCTAAGTTACGCTGAATAAATATTGCAATGAATTAGCGTAACAGACAACTTAGAATAAATATTTAAAAAGATATAAGACTTTATTGGAAATTGTGGGAAAATCTATTAAACGTTCATTGCTCGTTCTATGTTGCTAACCTAACATAAAAAGTAGCTAAATCAGTCGACACACCGAGCCGTCGCTATGTTTGATATTATCCTATGAGACTAATAATAATGGTGTATTATATAATATATAAAATCCCGATCTTTGAGTGCTGTGGGATACAAACTGAGAAACTGGATTATCCTTCCATCTTAAGTAGTCACTATGTCGCTATCTACGAATGTACTTATATTACATAGAGGAAAGATTTGTTTGTAGCGAATAGGCAACGAAAGTACTGGACCGATTTTTAATAGCTCTTTTACCTACGAGGAGCTGACGTAAGCTATAATTTACACGCTGTAGTAGTAACAGCTATACTACAGCCAAATTCGAAAGAATGTTTAGTAACAAAGTGTTGCTTAGCAACAACTGACAATCAGATATTAATAACCTTTCTATAATAGACAACAATGTATTTTTTTTTTCGATTTCAACATACCTACTACTTTGACAAATATTTTAAGCAATTTAAGCAGCGTTGTGAAAATTATCTAAACTTTGTAATTCATTGTGCGTTGTCTTAACACTACAAGGAACATGTTATGTGAAAATCAAAGTTGAAAAACCAGTCAAAAACAAATTGTTTTATTTTACTGACCGATTTCAAATGTAATCAGTCTAAATGAACATGTTTTAAAGTAATTGGCAACTTTATTTAGAAGGTTATTTAAAAAGTTTAAAAAGGTTTCAAATATCTGAATTATATTAGTAGTAGGGTTTTTAAAAGTATTATTTTCAATTTTTTACCAAAATATTACATTTCTTGCAATATATAACAGTAAAAAATATTACTCTACAATGAAGTAATGTGCCTGATGGGTGAGAAATATGAGTTTTATATTTTTTTTTGTCATGTGAGTTGCGGTGAGACAAACCAACTTAGGGTAAGTTGGTTTGTTTCCATTTGTTCTTCATCTAATTTGGCTGGATTATAGTTTATATTTTGTACGTTCTCTCGGATCTGGATGGTTGTATTCCTATGTTATTTCAGATTTAAACAACGCACGGGATTAAGTTAATTTACCTACTTAAAATCTGAGCATTGTATGTGATAGCCTATGTAACCCGCGTATGATGTAGCTTACCGTAGGTGAAATAATTTTTATGATCGGATTAATATTTCCGTAGAAATAAACAAGGTTAGAAATCTTACCTCTTTATATATCTTTATATTTGAATAGTTTATAATATATGTAGAAACTTTTTGAATGTTAGATTAGTATCATTATATTTGAGCATGAGTCCGAACGGTTTATTTCTGTAGTGGTCGCTGCGACAAGTCGGCGTAGCGGACGATGGCGGGTGACGCACGTTAGTTTTATTCTTAGTGGCTTTGCTTAAGTCGACGCTTGAGGCATCCTTTTTGCAACTAAATACGGAATATATGACTAACATCACCCACTCTATTTTAGTCTCGCCAGTTGGCAATAACGGCTTTCTCGGAACCAGTACTATTATTATTAATTTACATTTTTTAATCATTACGTATTGCTCTATAAAAGTTACTGTTACTGCGTTAAACGATTAGGTAGATTAGAAAGTGTTATATTGATAGAAGCAATTAAAAAACGAAAGAAAATGTAAAAAAAATGTATGTATTATATAGGTAGTAAACCAAACAATCATTCAAATTCCAATTCCTCCTATTCATTGAAGCTACTTCGTTATACTTTAGCGAGGTTGTCTAACCGTTGATCAATCTTTTCATGGAAATCAATGTTATTATTAAATATTATATTAATATTTTCTCTATTTTCTATTATATAATTTAAGTCAAATTCACTACATTTATAGATATTTATAATTAGTTAAATAATGATGGATATTTCATGATTAAGAAACTGACCACCTTGCCAAAACATTTACAGAATCATAAAGAAAATGTAGGTTCCAGAAGAATGAAGTGTTACATCGTCAAATGGTACAATTAGGTGAAAAATATATATTTACAAAAACAAGCGAAACCATACCGCGATGTACAAATAATATAGCGCTGTCTAGTAGACAAAATAGTAAGTAATTAATAACGGTATCAAGGTTAGAAAAGTTGCGGACAAAACAATTACCGAATGATCGATAAAAATAAAAGAGCCATTAAAGCAAAGTTAGTTTTACACCAGTTTCAAGTATGACCCTGGATGCAGACGATTTGCCGTCGGCAATTCACGAGTTAACATTACGTTCGAGAAACGGTCGAGTTTCTGCACCAGTGAGCTCATTTGAATATTGGAATAGAAACAGTGGCATGCTAAGAACTTAGTTCGGTACTCCCCGCATTGTTTTAAACTAATGTTAATCGGGGGATGTTTGAGTTGGCCTGAAACACGTACAATATACGTACCGATATACTGTGAGTTAAAACTTCTCGTGAATATCTAATTTAGCCTCGCCACCGCACCGGAGTTACAAGTGTTGGGAAATAATTAGCTTTTAGGATTTACATTTACATGTCTAATTTAACTCTACAACTTTGTCATTAGTCTATGTTCAAATTTTAATTTAAAGTCCACATTTGACGTTACATATCAATATCAATATGCTTAAAAATAAAGAATCTTAATATGTGGTTAGGGATTTTTGCTAGAAAGCAATAGTCACACCAAATTGTTTGCAGTAAATAAAGATATCATTAAATGGTTCATTTGTTACTTGTAGTTAAAAAAAAAACTATTGTTTAAAAAGTGTAATTACCAAAATCTTTATATAACTTTTGAACATATGACTATCCAATATTCTTACATGAGAAATACGTATAAATAATAATGTATGAGTAAAGAATACTTTAAAATCAATAAACATTTCCAATTTAAAAACAACAAATTCAATTTTTTATTTGAACCCTCCTAAACTCCTAGTTTAATAATAATTACCTGGTTTCAAAGGACAGCTTTGTTCCATTTTGTTTATGTCCCTTTAAATAAGAACAAAGACATTTTTATTCAAATAATAATGACTTTGAAAACCTCGTGGAGCATAAAAATGTAGGTAATATCGTTGCCTTGAGACGCTCCCGTCTTGAGACTTCAAGGATAGGTCGCGTCAAGGTCTCGAGAAATCTTGTCGACATTAATTTCGTTAGATGAAATAGTCTTTACTTAATTACTTGTTCACCTTCAGAATAAGTCTCGTGTTTCCTTTTATGTGCCAGAATGTATAGCAAAACTATTTGAGAATTAATAGGTATCTTTGAGTTAAATATTAGACAAAGGATCTTAAAAAAAATATGTCTGCTTTCCGTACCAAATAGCTAAACTATATGCATGTTCTTCTGTGTCTATTCATTAGTTTCTGAACTTCTAATATATTCCCACTAGTATATTTCCATTGTTTTTAAAAGCCATATTTTCACCTTAATGAGCAGGTATTTTAAATTCACAAGCGAACAAAGGAAAGACATTAACATTTTATACAAAACGGAGATAAAGAAACTGGATTGTTACTACGCAGTGATCCGTTGTAGGAGAGGGGGTGATGTAATATTTGAACCCCGAGTATCTCAAGCGTACATCTCACGTCCCTATGTCTAAAATAAATAGACAAATGCCTCCGAATTGTGTAAGGGTTCCAGGTCTAATTGAATTGGTTCAAGTTAATGTACAAGACGAAGCCAACATCCATGTCACGAGTCATTTTGCTTTATTTCTTAGTTTCACTTTAAGAATTAATTTAGACAAAATTTTATTTAACGATACTCATCTTTCATTCAATGTCAAAAATAATAACATTATTCATACATGGATTAACTTTCAGCACAGGGTAAAAAGTTTTTATATCAAAACCGTGTCAGAGCCTTAAGAAGCATTTTTATTTTCGCCAATCAGTTTGCATCCAAAACGCACTAATGACTTGGTTCTCACTTTGTACTGTCAATAATAACATATGAATAATATATTTCAGCGATTGGATATTATACAAAAAAGTTTTAGAGGGTTTTGAAAGTAGACCACTCCTTCAAAATATTGCAAATCAACTTAAAATAACTAAAAACATTTAAAAAAATGTAAATGATTTCAAATTAACAAGCTACAAATAGAAAATTGTTAGGTAAGTCATAGGAAATGAGATAGAAATAATATAGTCAAGAAAATATAAATACCGTGTCTTTTATTGACTTATACAAGCGGTGCGTGCGAAGGAACATAAAGGATAGATTAGGTAAGGGGATTATAAAAATATCTTCTTTTGTTGTGAAGAATACCTGATTGCTGTATCCAATTATCTATTATTTTAAAATACTTATAACCACTACTATCGAAAAATGTCTACTTAGTTTGAAGCACAAAGATAGAAAATGTTCGAGATAAATTCACTGCCATTGCAGAACTATGTGTCAACGTCCATAAAACCCAGTAGTTGCAGAGAAAGATTTAGCGCTTTGTGCATTTCGCATGCATGTCACGGCGCATTGTGAAATGGCAGATATTGCTCATCTCGTATGCCACCAATACTCTCCCCTATAATTTAGATGGCCGTGTT